GGAGTATCCTCATCTTTCCCCACCACCACCCCACCTTTAGTCCTCATTGTCATTCCCTGCAACCCTTTGAGATACCATGAAGAAGGCAGTGGCAGCATCTATCTCCTGCCCCAGGCCACTGCTGCCCTCAGCAGCGCACCGGGCTCTGCCCAATCTCAGGGACAGGGAATGGTGCTTTTGATCTGGGAGTCATCCAGCGGTCATTCAGCCATCCTGGCCATGGCTCGCTGGGGCACGAGGCTGTGGCTGTCTGCACTGTAAAGATATGGGAATGCAGCTTAAAGAGGTGAGAAAAATATGCTGGAGAGAAATGGCTTGATTTTACGTTGGTGCACAAAATGCCTTCACAGCAGAAGGGAGAAACAACCTTAAACATGACACTGGACAAATTCATAGTCCTTCCTCGGCAGGGCCAGGGGTGCTGGAAGACAGACAAGTTATAAAGCAAATGGCAGAAAGCTTTGTGTTGGCACGGCTCAGCAGTCATTTGGTTTGGTTTCCACCTGGGATAACTGCACTGCTAGCACGAACTGCAGTCATTCAGGGAGCCCAGCCCAGGTGTCCCCACTGTAGCAAATAACCAGCACTTCTGTCTGTGAGACTGCAAAGTCTCTTAGAAAACAGCCAGGCAGTTCTTACAAATTAGTGAAAACTGCTTTAGCCCCTCCTCACCTCCAAGTCGTGACTTCAGCTATACTGTGCTCGTGAGGGACCCATCAAAGGCTCCATAAAGACACCTAAAATTAGCTCTTCTGTGCCTGAAATTTTCATGAATTTGAAATCTATTATTATCTTGGACTTTCCGGTTAGTCCCCCTCATGGAATAAGTCTTGAAATATCAGATTCTTCTTCATTAATTAAAAAAATGAAGAGGGGGAAAAAAAAGCAGCATAGCTACTCCAGGATGGCTGAGGCAGACTGGGGTGAGGAAGGGTGGCGAGCTGCTTTAGAAAGCAAAACACAACACCAGCGTTGCCACTTGAAGCCAGCCAGGGCACTTGAAAGTCCTCTGGGAGGGAGGTGGGTCCACAGGCAGAGGGCAATGGCCAGAGGGCAGGGGCAATCCTCCCGTTCCTTCTCTCCCCGTCAGATCTTCCCCGATGTGGAGGGATGGCCCTTCCCGCGGTACCTGGGCTCCTGCGGGCGGCTGGTGGTCAGTGCCAGCACCCGGCCCCTGTGTGACTTCTACGGCGCGGCCCCCGAGGTGGCCGCTGACCTGGCCCTCCAGCTCCTCGCCGTCCTCCGCTCCATGGGCACCAACGACCTCAACTATTTCTTCTACTTCACCCACGTGGACGCTGGCACCTTCGGCGTGTTTAGCAATGGGCATCTGTTCATCCGGGATGCCAGCATGCTGGGGATCATCGACAAGGAGGAAGGTACTCAGCAGGCTCCATGGCTGCGCATCTGTCACAGGAGGGCTCAGTGAGACAGGGGAAACAAATCTTTCACCTGCTACGCTCAGCTCTGCTGCTGATTTTATTTTTTTTTTAATCAACCAAACATTGCTTGCTAAATTAAATAATGAAAAGTTCACGGAGAGATTTACTGACAGCAAAAGCATCAGCAGCTCCTGCCATCCTGGCTCTGAGTCGGAACGACGACAGGGGTTTTGTTTGTGCAGTCAGTGGTTTGGTGACTGACCGTGGGTGCTTACGTCCTGCCCGGCCCCCTCTGTGGCTGGCAGCAGCATTCAGCATGCACAGTGCTGAATGCTCTCATTTGAAATCTTCCTAAATCACCTCTTTTAAAAGTTTTGCCACACAAATGTCAATATTTGCAAGCAGAAATATCATAACTTCATTTGTTTTAAGTATTGGGTCAAATCAGACTCCTTTTAGGTGCATATATCACATTAACTAATATTTGTCATTGTTATAACAACAAACCCCCCCTTTTGTCATTTTTATATAAAATCAAGAGTTACTGTTCACTTTTCACAGGTTACATTGGTCTACTCCTGGAAGTAGAGCTACTCAAAGGCTATTTCTCCAATAATTTAACAATTTACTTTTGAATGTTCAAAATTTCAAAAGGCCTTTGCTCAGCTCACATGTTCAGCTGACTAGATCTCAAATATTCAGAAGCAGCTGTCAGAATTTTCCACTGCGTTTCTTTTTCTTGTCCCAACAGCTATTACTGTTGACTTGACTCCAGCTAGATGAGCTGTTGTTGCAATTTAATGATTTTGGGTAACATGGAAAAATTATGGGTTTGTCTATTTGTGGTAGTTTTTGTAGGAACTCCACATTTTAGGTTAGTGCTCTAGTTCTTCTCATTTTTTTTGCAGCAGTTTGACTCCACAGACTCCTTTCCACTTCCTCTGTCAGGCGGTTCTGCAGAGCTCTGTCATTCAGAAAAATATACGTATTTCAGGAGTGAGAAAATTGGCCGATATACAGCTACAGCACAGAGTATTTTGTGGTGAAAGATAGCTGTATCCTTTAGATAGTAACAAACCCCATGTTAATGCACAGGTACAGACATATGCGATTATCCAAGATTTTGTTACAGTACTTCTAACAACTGGTTTAATTGTCTCTAATAGGGAGCCAGCTGATTGACGGCCAACAGGAGTATAAAGATATATTTAGCTGTTTGACTGTGGACTGCCAGTCTGCATTCGTGTCCTGTAACTCCATCAGAGAGAAACACAGCCTCGTCATGGTGTGTCAAGAGCTTTTGCCTAAGCTCCTGAAGGGGAAATTCCTGCAACCTGTGCAGGAGAAAATAGACAGCTTCCTGCAGCACTGCGCCAATGGCCTTGCCGATGACCAGGGCATCAACGAGGCGGTTGCAAAGCTGGCAGAGCTCCTGAAACCTCTGCGGTCTTGCGATTCTCGTTTTGCCTACCGCTACCCTGACTGCAAATACAGTGACAAATACTGATGGCTTCGGAGAAAGGGTAGCCTGGGAAGGACTGGGGCGGTGTCAGCCCCCCGCCAGCGTGGGAAGCAAGAAAGAACCAGGATAGCTGGAAAGAGCTGTGCCAAATCTGGGGCTTCCTCATCAAGGTGGAGAAGCAGGAAGCAGAGTGCACATGGGATTTATAGTTCATCTCCCAGAGATGCATTTGTTACATGGGATGTTAGACATGATGTAAGACTTATGGATTATTAGCATTATCATGAGTGACAGGGGCTACAGGGATTAATAAATCTTATTCACGTATTTTGGCCTTGGAAGAGTTTTCCCTGCTATCCGTTAAAAAGAAGCCCTCTGAAGGCAGCACACTCACAACTAGCTGGATAGAGGAGTTTTATTACCAAGAAAGTCTTTCTGATCAAGATGATATATACATAGTGTGGGATGGATGGAAGCATTTAAGACTTTCCTTGTGGGGATTTTAAAATCATAGATAAACTGAACCACCGGATCAGTTCCATACCATCACCCATCACAGATCTCTTCTATAAAATACTTAAATTTTATTACTTTTATGGCACATAGAACAGAAAGACACAGTCAACAGCATTAAAAAGCTGAAAGGCCCCATATCTCTTGAGCCTTCATTTCTCTAATCCCCAAATATAATTACTTTTAGTCTTTCCCAAGTTGGCAGGCAGTAATTGGAGACTAGCAAAGGTTCTTGTTTTAAGATCAGAAAAAATCCAACTCTAGGATGTAATTGTCCAGTAGATACTTTCACACATTTCTCTCTAAAGAAAACTGAAGGAACCATTTGCACAAAACCATTTAAATGGGAAAATTACCTTAGGAGGAGAAACAACACAGGCAGAGGATGAGAGATTAGTTTACCCTGAGCCCTATGAGTCTTGCTGAACACTCAATGATCCAGCATCGGTGTTGGGGCACCTCCCAAGAGCTAGTGAGGTCTAAATCCTGACCAGCTTTTGCAGGTACAGCCATCCTCATCCCTTTTCCGGTCAAAGAAGGAATCAGTCCCCAAAGGAAAGACTCAGGCACCTAACATTTGGGGTGGTGGACTCTTTTTTTCACAGCAGTGCCTCATTTTGTGGGGGTAGGTTGCAAAAGTTTGCAAAACAACTTTCTCACCCAGCATCTGTCAGTCCTGTGTGCTCCCTGTGGGGTGTCAGAGGCCCACACCAAATCTTCCCTGATGTCTAGGGGACTGCCAGACCTCACCTGGGTTTGAGGCTTTCTCCTGGGATCCAGGTGCACAGGAGTCACCAAGCAAATTTGACTGAGCAGAAACTAGACTTTCTGGATCCCCCATAAGTATTTTCATCGCAGAAACAGTCTTCCTTTACCCATGGTTCAAAAAAGAAATCAGTAACAGTATAAAAGCAGAAAAAGATGTGAGTGCATTTGCATTGCTAATCATGGTACAGAGTTACCAGGAGCAGGAA